AGCCGGTGAGATTTGAACAGCCGAACTGCTGAACTGCAGTCAGCTGAAGTAGCCTGCAGTGCTGCATTTAACCACTGCGCCACCTCGGCTCTTGTGGACAGCAACTCCCAGAATTCCCCAGCAAGCCATGCACAAGTCTTAAAGTTGCCAAAGTTGGACATTCCTGGTTTATATAGTAGCTTGCCCTGTTAATATTCTTAGGAGGTATTGTTTTCTCCTTGGTGCTTCCTTGATTAGGCTGATATTTACTGCTTGATTGTTTGACAGAAGAGGTATTTCCTTGATTAAGGTATTGTTTGATGCTTGATTGTTTTCTGATGTTAATTCTTACTTATCTGGGTGTCGACTGATGGCAAGAAGCTGTTCTGGTCTTTTTTGTTTTCCTTTTAGCTTTTTATTATCTCTTTTGAATGATGTATAAATGTTATGTTTTGATTGTTGGTTTTAACAGAATAATTTGCTTTATTATATTTGTATAACTGTTTTATAGCTATTTTTTTAGCCAGAGTTTGTTAGTGAATTTTTAGGAGAGCCACTTAAGATAGGATAGGATAGGATAGGATATAGGGGTTATAAAAGAATGAATGAATGAATCAACCAATCAATCAATTCCAAGCATCAACAATCAGCACATTAATTGCTCATATTGCTTGGAAGTTGTCAAAGTTATATTTAATAGGTTTTAATGACAACAGGTTGAGAATAACTGTTCTAGATAGACCTGATAAGCACCTGAGATGTTGATAGGCCTACTGCATGCAGAAATTGTTTTAATAAAAAGTTAGGGTTAGGGTTGATTCCCTGGAAATTCTGATGCTCTTACCTTTTTTATTGTTTGAAATGAAAAACAGCTCCTTGCTACCTTTCTTTCTTCCTTCCTTCCTTCCCTCCTTCTTTCCTTTCTTCCTTCCTGTCTCTAGAACTGAATCTTTGTTAATATTGTGTGATATAGCGTTTGGAGCTAGTATATCTGGATTGAGGAACATCCAGATAGCCAGCAGATGGCAAGAACATGCAAGAGTTTGCTGTATTATATCGCCATCTAGCAGTTATCCAGATCTTTATTCTATATATTTGGTGGCCCGGCTCCATCATTCAGGAATTATAAGAATAATGAGTTGTTTATATGTATTGTAGAACTATCAAAAGATAAACATGGTCAAAGCTTACTAGTAAAAATGTCCAGCTATTGCTAGGTAGAATTGAACTGGAGGGTAATTGCACTTAACAATGGCATGTACACTTATATACTGGTTCATACTGCTTTACAACACTCTCTGAGCACTCTACAATATCAATATATTGCCCCCAATAATTTCAGTCCTCGTTTTACTGACCTCGGAAAGTGGAAAGGCTGAGTAAATCTTGAGCTGCTCAGGATTGAACTGTTGGTAGTGGGAATGCAGAATCAGCCTGCAATACTGTATTCTAACCACGGCGTGACAACAGCTCAAATTAAAGTAATCCTTGTGCTTTGGGGATAGAAGCAGTGGGTGATTGGATTGGCCACATGCAAAAACAGAATTGCTGAATCTATGTTTATTTGATGGCAACCCCTTATATTTATCTCAGAGCCGCAAATGGCAGGTAGAAGCAATTTACAAGAGTTTTCAAAAAGGTT